GATGTTTCCTTATAGTTGTGTGAGATGTTAACTTTGAGGGGAGGTTGGGGGAAGAGCGCACAGCACCTGCCTTTACATTTCTTTACAGCCTACTGTGAGTCAATAAGTATTTCAAAATGAAAAGTTTTAAAAACTTAACGATAATTACTAAAAGAAAATAAATAAGATATATAACTTCCTAGCCAAATGAGTAGGGGAAGGAAAAAAGTAAAGAATGATTAACCAATCCAACAAGATTGAGGAAAGGAGAAACTAGAAAGCAAAGAAAAAGCAAAATAACTACAAATACAAAAAAAAGATGGTAGAAACAAATGAAAATATAATCACAATAAATAAAATGGACCAAACTTCCCATTTAACAGAAAGTCTCAGGTTTTGTTTTGTTTTTTTTTAGTTCAGTTATTTTCAATGTATAAGAGGCCTGACGAAATATAATGACACAGAAATTTTGGAAGTAAGTGATGTGGAAAGTGGCAAATATCCAAAGAAAGCAGCTGTATTATAGTAATATCAGATAAAATAAACATTAAAGTGAAAACATTGAGATTAAGAGTCAATATATAATGATAAAAAGAACAATTAACTGAGAAGATAAAACAATCCTGAACTTATATTTACCAACACTATAGCACTTTACATCTTTTAAAGCAAAATTCAGTATATTTAAAAGGAAAATGGATAAGTCCATGCTCATAGTTACATTTTTAATATACCTACATTGGTATTAAGAGTAGCAGAGATTTGAGCAATGAATTAACGGAGATAATGGATGGATGGATAGATGGAGGGGTAGATAGATAGCAAAATTTATATAGAATGTATTAACCCAACAATCAAATACTCTCTTTTCAAGCATACATGGAATACTTATAAAACTTGACCATACACTATTAAGTCACAAAATAAATTTCAGTTTATACCATATAGTAGGTCAAAAAGCAAATGTTAATTTACACACAGCCTATTTTCTGCACACAACTCAATAAAATTAGAAATTGGTAACAAAGCAATAAACAACACCCCCATTCATTTAGAAATATTGAAAAACACACCTTTGAATAAGGCTCAGATAAAAATAATAAAATGATTAGGAAATATTTAGAAGTAAATGCCAATGAACTAAATGCCTAAAGTAAGCACGGAGCTAAAACAGAGGGTGTACTTACGGGAATATGTACAGCTGTGCTTATGTGTGTTATTAGATAGGAAGAAAGAGGAAAAGCTAATGAGTTAAGTGTCTAAATGAAGAAGATGAAAAAAATCAGTAAGCAAAGATAAAAGCAAATCTGGGAAAGAAGTTGATCTATATCAACTTGAGAAAAATGTTTCTTATCTCTGGAAGGGAGAAGAGACTGTAAGAAAGTAAGCTACATTGGTAGCATTTTATTTCTTTGGGCCAAAAAAAAAGGTGTGAATACTTTGTGTGTTAAAAATTATTGTTTGGAACAACTTTATTGAAATGCAGTTCACAACTCATACAGCTCACTCATTTTAAAGCGTACAATTCACTGGTGTTTAGTATATTCGCAGAGTTGTGTGACCTTCATCACAATCAGCTTGAGAACATTTTCATCACCTCAAAAAGAAACCCTCCACCTTTGGCTGTCATCCCTGAGCCCTGCATCCTTACCTGGCCTAAGCAACCAGCACTAATTTGCTTTCTCTGTTTATAGATTTGTCTACTCGGGACCTTTTATATAAAAGGAATCATATAACACGTGGTCTTCTGTGACCAGATTCTTTTACAGAGCATAAATTTTCCAAGACTCATCCAGGTCGTAGCATATATCTCTGCTTCATTCCTTTTTATGGATAAATGATATTCTATTGTGTGAATACACTACATTTTATTTATGCATTAGTTGGTGGACATTGGAGTCATTTTCACTTTTGGCTGTATTATGAGTAATACTGCTATGGACATTTGTGTACAAATGTTTGTGTAGACATATGTTTTCATTTCTCTTGGATATATACCTAGGAGTGGAATTGCTGAGTCAAATGGAAATTGCACACTTAAATTTTTGAGGAGCTGCCAGACTGTTTTCCAAAGTAGTTGCACCATTTTGTATTTCCATCAGCGGTGTATGAGGCTTTCTGATTTATCTACATCCTTGCTAATACCTGTTATTATTTTTGATTATAGCCATCTTATTTGGTGTGAAGTGGTATATCACTGTTTTCTTTTTGCATTACCTGGTGAGTAATGATGTTGAACGTCTTTTCATGTGTTTATTAGCCATTTGTCTTCTTTGGAGAAATGTCTATTCTGATCCTTTGCCCAATTTTAATTGGGTTGTCTTTTTGTCATTGAGTTCTAAGATATTTATATATATATTCTAGAGACAGGTCCCTTATCAGATATATGATTTCCAAATATTTTCTCCCACTTTATGGGTTGTCTTTTCACTTTCTTCATAGTGTCCTTTGAAACACAAAAGTTTTTAATATTGATAAGGTCCAATTATTTTTTCTTTTGTTGCTTATGCCTTTGATGTCTTATCTATAAGAATCCATGGCCAAATCCAAGATGATGAAGGTTTATTCCTATGTTTTTTCCTGAGAATTTCATAGTTTTAGCCCTTAACTTGGGTCTTTGATTTGAGTTAATTCTTATATATGGCGTATGATCAGCGGCTATACGATTTAACATCCTTTTCAGCAGTGCACCTGGGTTCCAATTTCTCCACATCCTTTCCAACACTTGTTACTTTCTGTTGTTGTTGTTGTTTTTTAATTGTAGCCATTTGAATGGGTGGTAGCTCATTGTGATTTCGATTTGCATGTTCTGAGTGATTAGTGCCGTTGGACGTCTTTTCATGTGCCTATTGGCCATTTGTATATCTTCTTTGGAGAAACGTCTATACAAGTCCTTTGCCTATTTTTAATTGGGTTGTTAATTTGTTATTGAATTGTAGGAGTTCTTTATGCTGGATATCAATATTTAGGAGATACGTGATTTGCAAATATTTATTCCTGTTGTGTAGATTGCCTTTTCACTCCATTAATAGTGTCCTTTGTTGAACAAAAGATTTTAATCTTGATGAAGTCCAGCTTACCTATTCTTTCTTTTGTTGCCTGTGCTTTTGGTGTCATATCAGAGAAATCATTGCCATTTTCTAAACACTCAGCCTGGTGGTGTTTAAACTATTCAGTGAATGATTTAAAGAACTGAAGTAAGTTATTTCTATACTACAATTTACTGTTATAATTATGGAAAATTTCATAATCATCCATTCAATCCCAAACTTCTTCTGAATCTTTATTTTCCTGATTACTGCCAAATGCATTCAATTATAAATTGAAAGCATGGAAATGGCACAATTTATTATGATACAGTTTTTCCCCATGAGGAATAGTGATCAAAATTATTGCCAAGTGCCTTTATTAGGAAAAGAAAATTCTTAACTGATTAAAGGCTATGGATATTGTATATCAACTATTAAATGGGTTTTCAACTTTTCTCCTTCATTTTTTAAAAACACTGAATTTCACTTCAGCACATATAATAAGGTTCTAAAACTTCCAAGACATTTTGCATTCTGAAAAGGGTTCCTTGTGGTTATAATATTCATTTGAAATTCAAATAACTCCTTGGAATTTGAAGCTAGCTAGAAGTTATGTACTGTTAAAAAAAAAAAAAAAGGGGGAAGATCCGTGATACTGTTGCTAATTTATACTGCTACAAGATGTGACACCTTTGAACCTAGATAGGAGCAGCAAATGTATCTTTTGAAGTCATCAAATAATACATGCACTCTCTATAGTAAATTTCTTGGGCAATGTGTAAGAACTTATTTTTAAATCTCTTTTTAGTTCTTGTTTTAAATCATTATATACTTTTTCCAGCCAGTGTTTTTCAAGAGCTCCTAATTTTGTAAAGTAGATGATGTAGACGATCCAATAGAAGCCTAAGACATGGTCCTCTTCCCTCAATTTGCCATCCATCCATAGAACGTAATGATGCACATGACAACGTAAAAGAAGAAATAAAAGCATTTACCATTTAGAGTCTGAGAAAGTAAGGATGGGCTGCGGTGGTGTGGATGGGTCTCAGGGAGGCAGACCTCCGCAGGCCAGGAGGGTGAAGTAGACCAGAATGGGCTGAGGAAGAGCACTGTTCTCTCTAGACGAGAGGGGAGACAAAGTGTGACGGACTGGAGAATGTCATGCGCCAGGTACCTGAGGTAGAGGGTACATTAAATACGCTGTGGCAGATTGGATGGTCAGAATGAGGGCAGATTATGGGGAGGTGGCACGGTAGTTTTATATTCAATGTAGCTGACTGTAGAGAAACATTGTGGGTTCTTGATCAGAGAAGTGGTGGGAAAATGTAGCCTGTCTCTCATGGAGATCATAGAACTTTAGAAATAAAGGGATTTTGAAAACATCTAGTCAACGTCTTTTTGTTTCCTGAGGCCGGGGAACTGAAATAACTTGCTCAGAGTCACCCATTAGAAAAGAGCAGATCTGAATCTCAGATACATCCTTTCATTCCAAGGCCAGCACTCTTTCCTTCATACCACAGTCCTCCAGAATATAGTAAGAGAAAGGAGCAAGGGAGACCAGATGGGCAACAATTATACAGTCCATACTTGAGGCAGTGAACACCACGATCAGAGGCGTCGCTGAGGAAAGTCGACAGAAAGGACAAATAAGAAGCACCTTAGTGAGAAAAAGTCAGAATCTGGTAACTATTTTCTTTATTTGAGTCAATGAGGCAAATATCTGGAGAATTCAGTAAAGGATTGCACTAGTTCTAAAAAATAACATTTGACTAAAGTGAAAAAGACAGATCCTAGTAAAACCACTATTCATAATCCAAACGACCCTAGCAAATGGGTGCTAAGTAAATATTTGCTGAATGAAAAAACAAATGAATGTATCAACGTAAATTTTGTTGATTTTTGTTTTGTTTTGGTTTTTTTTTTCTTTTTTTTTGGATATTTAGGAAGTATCTTACAAGTGCTATTTTAAAAAGAAAACATTTTCTTTTACAGATTCACCTTTTGGGAGTTTTGCTAGCCATTTTAGGAAATTTGGTAATGAGTATTTCCCTAAATATTCAGGTAAGAAGTAGCTTATTTTTCTAACTCTATAGTTTGATCAGGAACACATTATGACTTCAAGGTGCCTCAGGCACCTCTTGGGGATCCTTCCTCCACAAAAATATATAAACAATTATATTTTATGACCTCATTGATATAAGGACAAATAGAGTCTAGGCTGGATTGCATTCACTTTCTTCTTCTTCTTCTGATTTTAAAAGAAATTTAATGTTTTTGTGGGCCTCTTAATAATATTACATGGCTGAGGCAAGATGCCTTGGTGGCTTGTGAATTTGTACCACAAATTTGTACCAAAGATGTTCATAATCTTGGCATAAACCAAGATTTATTTTTAATGTTCTGTGTTTTCTTCTAGCACTTTTATTATTTTTTAAAAGTTTTTAAATGTAATCTAGAATGGTACATACTTCTTAGTAGAAAGTAGGTTCGGGCATCATCAAATCAATAAGGAAATAGGGCTTTATTTAAAGGCCAATTTTCCAGGAATGTAGATGTTTCAAATACAAAGAAATACTCTTACCATGTATAAACAAGCTTCTACTACCGGACCCCATACCAGCAAAGCATCTGCCCTTCTATGTTTATTGTGGTAGCTGCTTTGACTCATACATTTAAATCCCTTTTCAAACCGGTTTTCTTGAGTAACTTATTATTTTTATTTCATCAATGTTTATTTTGGCATCTGGACTTTTTTGACATTCTAAAGGAGGTGTTGTGGTGTGATGAACTAAAAAGACACTTAATTCTTTAGCACACTGCTCATCTTTGGAGAGCAATTACTGATACTAATTTTACAGTTATGAGAATTAAGCAAAATTCCTACATAAGGAAGGCCCTTTACACCACAAAATTCTCTGTCAGGGGCAGTCACTTCTGCAGTTAATATGTTTGGAGCAAGCAGAAAACCATAATAATTGCTCTGTAATAATCTGCTAATAAACTTAAAAGCCATGATGCAAATGCATAGGACCAAAAAATGTTCAAAGCAAGTTTTAATTGGGTAGAAATATTATCTTATTTGCATTCTGATTTACTTCCAGAAATATTCTCATGTCCAGCTGGCACACCAGGAACACCCAAGGCCCTACTTCAAGAGCATGTTGTGGTGGGCTGGGGCCGCTCTCATGGCTGTGGGGGAGACGGGCAACTTTGCAGCCTACGGATTTGCTCCCATTACTCTCGTTGCGCCATTAGGCTGTATATCTGTTACAGGTGAGCCATTTCTCTGTGTTTTGACAAATAGAAATTTTTAGAGATCAGAATAGTTGGCGAAAAACATATAACTTGAACAACATATGAATAAAAGAAGAAATTCTACTTCCTGTTTTCTTAGCACTTTAACTTGGAACAATTACACTGACTTCACTGATCCGCCATCATGCTGCCACGTTACTCAGGAGGAAACCTGCACTTTGTAACTGTAATATTTATGTTTAAAAGCCTGATTTCCAGTGTCTGTATCTTAATAAATTAACAGGAACAGCAAATGTTATACCATGCTTTTTAAATTTTTAATGAATTATCTAAAAGCATTCGTAAAACATCATACTTTATTCATATGTTAAACTGACATTACATGTACTTAGAGTGTTTGATGCCTGATCTTGACTTCATAGTTCAGTATCTCTTTTACATTAAGAATTAAATATGAGGGAGGGGCACCTGGGTGGCCCAGTCGGTTAAGCCTCTGCCTCTAGCTCAGGTCATGATCCCAGCATCCTGGGATCGGGTCCCACATCGGGCTCCCTTCTCCTGGGGGGGGAGAGGGGGTCCTGCTTCTCCCTCTCCCTCTGCCCCTCTTCCCTGCTTGTGCTCGCTCTCTCAAATAAAATAAATAAATAAATAATTCTTTTTAAAAAAAAATAAAATATTGGGGTGCCTGGGTGGCTCAGTTGGTTAAGCATCTGACTCTTGATTTAGGCTCAGGTCATGATCTCAGGGTTGTGGGATGGAGTCCTGTGGGCTCCGTGCTGGGCCTGGAGCCTGCTAAAGATTCTCTCTCGGTCGCTCCCCCTCCCCCTGGCTCACGTGCTAATGCTTGTGCACACCCTTGCGCACTCTCTCTCTGAAATAAATAAATAAATCTTTAAAAAAAAGAATTAAATATTGGTTATTCTACATTACTATAAGAATGTGTAATTTTATAGTAATGTCAGATTAACCTACTTTCAAAATTTATGATTTACTAAATATATCTAGAAAAGAGAATATGAGATGTTGCTAAAGACTAAAAAAAAAAAAGAGCAAAAATCATTGCTAAAAAGATGAATAAATTTTCTAAGCCTTGTTAAAATCAATAAAATCTTTTTAGTTTTACTCTTTATTTGCTGCTATGGAAACAGCATGTTTTTAAATGTCTGTGAATTTGGGAAACCACTGAAGTAGAAACGAGTTGATGGTTATTGTCTGGTAACAACTAGATCAAGCGTAAGATGCACTCACCTGCCCCAATTTTAATATTTCTCCTAAAAAAATATGATATTCTTAAAGAAAGCATAGCTTAAACTGAAATAATATATATTCAAAAAGAATTTAATTTATTTTGATAGTAGTTTTCCTCTCTTAACCACTCAAAATATTTTATTTAAAATGCTTTCATGGTATACTATAGTAGAATATTTAGCAAAGAACACCTTTTCAGCTTTCTAGAAATTGCTCAGTTAAAAATGCCATCTTGTTATTACTCTGAGTAGGCACACAATTTATGTAATCATTTGCCATTTTTTTAAAGATTTTATTTATTTATTTGACAGAGAGAAACACGGCGAGAGAGGGAACACAAGCAGGGGGAGTGGGAGAGGGAGAAGCAGGCTTCCCGCTGAGCAGGGAGACCAATGCGGGGCTCGATCCCAGGACCCTGGGATCATGACCTGAGCCGAACGAAGGCAGACGCTTAATGACTGAGCCACCCAGGTGCCCCTCATTTGCCATTTTTAACATTCTAATAAAATGAGCAATTTTAGCATATCTTCTCTTTGCTACACATACCATGTACATGTACATTATGGATTTCTTCTTTCTTCTCAAAATCTGAGGAATAATAGATAAAAGATCTAGTTATATTGTAGCCTTGGGACCTCTACAGGCCCCAATTGTTCTGAAAATGTTGTATTATTCTTCATAATGACTATATATTTAGAGCTGGTTTTCGTTTCATTTCTTGTTTTGCTTTATGCTTAGCTTCCATGAAACAGACAAAAAAAGTGTCCAGAAATATAAACAGACACCTGCAGGAGGGTTGAGTATACCACATTGTAATGAAATTCTCCATTTATCTCGAGTCTCCCAGGTACTGGGAATCCTTTTCTCTGGGAACAAGAAAAAGAGAGCTACTCCACCTAGCTCAAAGAAAGGGGAGTGTGGCTGGATTTTATTATAATGATCAGGATTTCACAGAAAAGAAATACAACCAGGCCCTGTGGGACCTAAAGTGAGAATTTGGAAGTTGCCAGAGATTAAGGGTCCCTTGATACCCCTTGCAGACCTTCAGGGAAGCTGCCTGTGAAGCTGCTCATCTTGGCCTGACTTGTGCAAAACTCCCACTAATAGGAAGCTTAAGTTTTCCCACTCACCTTAGACAGTGGTCTGTCCTCCCCAAGTTCCCAAGGGGCCAGTCTACCTACCTTCAAACGCCGAGCCCACCGGTTTGACAGATGCGACTCTCTTAATGCTACAGATCATTTTTCTTTGTGTGCTCTTAGCCCCAATTAACATTTCAATGTTGGAACCTTTTTAGCAACCCCCCTCTCTGCCCATAAAATGATTCAAAGAAGTAAAAAAAAAAAACAAACCAACCAAAAAACAAAACTTATAGCCTCAAATACAAACCATTTCCTACTTTACAGTCTTTTCAAACAGTAATATATGCTCATGAGTAATATTCCCACAGCATTCCTGAGCTGAATTTGGGTTATTGTGAAGAGTTTTGGGTGGGTTATGGACCATTGGTGATTGAAAATATTCCTCAGAACAAACCCCTACCACCCTGAGATTCCTTATAAAGATTCTAGAAACTCTAAAGGACCTGGAGCAAAAAAGGAAAGTATTTTTAAAATAGCCATATCATATGGTTCTGTCTACAGATGAGGCAGAAGAATGTCCACATTTTTCTGTGCTGGAATTTTTCCAATTATTTCTTGGGAGATTCATGAAAGAAATCAGACTTCCTTCTGAGTTTAAAAAAACAAACAAAAAAAAAGATATTGTATGTTGCATGGAATGGGAGTTTGCATATTCTTTTCTGGCCTTTCTTCTATCTTTTGTTGTTTTTAAAATTAAAAAGGGGGGGTGGGGCGCCTGGGTGGCTCAGTTGGTTAAGCGTCTGCCTTTGGCTCAGGTCATGATCCCAGGGTCCTGGGTTTGAGCCCCGCATCAGGCTCCCTGCTCCGCGGGAAGCCTGCTTCTCCCTCTCCCAGTCCCCCTGCTCGTGTTCCTGCTCTTGCTATCTCTCTGTCAAATAAATAAATAAATAATCTTTAAAAAAATAAATAAAATTTAAAAAAAAAAAAAAGAAGGAAAGAAAATTAAAATCCAGAACAGCTTAAAAAAAGTTGGAGCTCCAAAGTAGGGTAGGTACTTTCTTCCATCCTCCTTCCCCTGCTTAGGTGATCTGATTCACACCAACCCCATGCTCCTTTCTCCCTCCAGAAGTAAGGAGAGATCCCGGGTAGGTAATCCTGTGTCCTAATCTCACTGCACACAATATGCCAGGCCTGCTAATATGTCGGACCTGCTGTCTTATCCTACATCATCAAAATTCCTTTTCCCTTTGTAACTTCAGTTGAACAGATTGTTCTTAGGACTAGTATATAAGAAACACTATGGTAAGCATCATGGCTATTTCAGTTTGTGCTCTTCTCACATTCCTGCCTCCAGCCATCTTCCTGCCTGCCCTTCCTTTCCCCTTGTGTGTGTGTTCTGCCGTGCGTCACTGCCATGCTCACCTTGAAGCAGCCATCCCTCAAACACTAGTTTTACCGGCGGCGCCAAAGGGGTTCTGAGAAACAAAGAGTTCCACGATCAAACAGATCTCTGTGATACTGGATTGTAAATGTTAGCCCTGTTTCATGAGTGCAGGGCTTGGCGGGGCGCATCCCAGGACGGGCCCACGCACACTGGGAGTCTTTCAGAGACAGATGCAGTAGGCCAGGTTTCCAGAACCTGCTGACCACAAAATGTTTTTATATGAAGTATCCTCAAACGACAGCAGTTCTGCAGGAAACCTTTAGGGAATTCTTAAGGCCATGCTCACATTAATCATTATCCAATCTCCACTGCCTGGCTCCGGCGAGTTGTGGAGCCTGCCTGAGTCTCAAGGACTGGATAATGGGGAATGATCCTGGCAGATATGAATGCCCAGGCCTGGGTCCAGCTTTTTGAGAATGTCAGAGCCCTAGTATCCTTGTGTCACCTTGCACTTTTACCCTATTTTTCTCACTGAACAATAGATCCAAAAGCTCATTCTGACTAATACACTTGTTACACTGGCAGTGTGGCTAATTCTGGTTGTTGACTTGTGTTTGTATTTCCGTTAAGTAAGAAAGCTTAATGGATGTTTTTCTTTTTTTTTATAAGATTTTATTTATTTACTTATTTATTTATTTAAGAGAGGGAGAGAGAGCAAATGAGTTGGGGGAGGAGCAGAGGGAGAGGGGCAAGCCGACTCTGCATGCACTGAGCATGGAGCGCAACGCTGGGCTTGATCTCACAACCCTGAGATCATGACCTGAGCCGAAATCCAGAGTTGGACGCTTGCTTACCCTACTGAGCCACCCAGGTGCCCCTTAATGGATGTTTTCAATCTGGTCTACAGCCTAGGCTGGATATTTGTCCCAATAAGACAGGGCAGTTGAATGGTCAGGAACATGTGTTCTGGGGCCACACAGCTAGGTCTAGGGTTCAAATCTCAGTTCCGCCACTGGAAAGCTCTGTGACCTCACACAAGTAGTTTAAACAGGTTTATGCCCCAGATCCCTAATCTGCAAAATGGAGATAAAAAGAGTTCTTACCTCAGAAGTTGTCCTGGGGAAAAAACCGAGTAAACACAAACACCTAAGAGCAGTGTCGGATACAGAAGCAGGGAACAGTATTCATTATACGGGCATCTGTTCCCTGGCCCTGAAAGGTGGCTGATGATTAAATTCTCTAAAATGGAGGATCCAGTTTAAGAAAAGCTTCTTATTGTTCTTATCCATGTAATGGTTAATTTTCAG